GCTTCTTTACTCTAATACTCTCTGGAGTAGCACAAGCTGATACCTCACTCCCACTTCGGAGCTCATAATGCCTTTCGCTGCGCGGAATTGGGGGAAACGTATTCTGGGCTATTAGGTCTACGTGGATTACGGTTGAGGGTTTCAAGGGGAAGGCCCACTAGGAGCCTGGAATACTGGTTCTGTTGAATCAATCTCAAGGGCAACATTATAACAGAAGCTTTTCTAAAGAGCAGAGTTAACAATGAAGCCCTAGCTGGAACCAAGATTTGAGGCAGGAGGTTTGGCAACTGGCATGCACCAGACGGCTTCGAGCCAGATCACTGCGGAGAACGCCTTTGCTGCGGTGCAAAGCCAAAGGGGAACGAAAACGAAAAGGTCTGATGAACTACGAATCGAGCCTTCTATGGTCCTGAAAATATCCTGGTTGTTGACTTTTACCCTTGTGCTATCACTACCTACCGCACTTATCAGGTACCAAGTCCAACAAGGATCTTGATCTTATGACATCAAGAAGTTGTTGGAAGTTTTTGGCCGTTATAGACTTGATTAAGTTATTGTTATATAAGAGCAGGGTTATGCCGATTTAGGGGCAGTTCACCGGGCTCAGGCAGCGAAAGGACGCCAAAAGGCCCAGAGAGCATCAGCCGGGGATGCTCTAGTTCTATAGCAAAATGAACCTCCTATTTTCCTTTAGAGTAATACTGTAATTTTAGTTTCACGCCAGAGCGAATTCGCGCTGTGATGACATAGCATGACACATACGGCCATCGGCTTGTTGCGCCTCGGGGATGGCATTCAACTCTAGGCTACTGAAGCATGGCCTCATAATGTTAGAAAAGCACTGCAATGAATGCATGAGACTCAGCATGGTGTCTGAAGAGAAGAAAATAACATCAAATGCAATGCCGTGCGGCATGCAAGGTACGAATAGAGGAAGCCAACAGTGATTGTGAAGATGTTTCTGGAAATGTTTGTTAGATGCTTGGCAAGAAACACTTGGATATTCGCCTGTGGGCAAGTTTCGCGATAGTGTTACAACTTTTTAAAGTGAATATATGATCAAGCTACAGCCCACGCGTCTCCTTGATACTCTGCCCTATTTTTGGCCATCACATTCCTCTCTATTCTCCTATCACGGGAAACCTCTAACATGAGCCGTAGCGAGAATTTATTAAGCCCAAAACCCGTTATTATCTTTTATCTTCGATGTTCCGGTGCTGCATTTAGTGGTGTGTCAGAAATGCACTGTTGTCATGTAGACGTAGCGCCATAGCTTCCATGTGGAACTGAGCATGAAAGGTGCTCGAACACGTCATCTAAATCTGAATATAATTTTTGACTCCGGGGACAACTGATGTCAACGCTCTCAAAGTGAGACAGCGCTGTCAAATTTTTTGTACACCGGCTTCATTGGAAGCCGCGACCTCTCCTTTGCCTTCCCCTAGCAGGGCAAGTTTTCTGGACATCCAAGACTGGAACTATAGTACTTGAAATATATTATTTGTCCTGAAGTGTTATCTTTGGTGCAGTCAGTGATGCCCATATAAACGCCAGGCAGCAAGTCAGACACTTCAATCCCATAATTGTCTCTTTCCTTCTACAGAAATAAAACATAACAAATTCAGGCTAACCAGTATGATGCTGGACTCTAAACAATGTTCTGTGACTCGCCTCACACAATATGAAGCAGTTCCGTTAGAACCCTACTGCTTCTGACCGGTGACACTTTGCTGGGATCATAGCCACTGGCCAAAACCTAAGTGTTACGACCAAAGAAAAGGGATTTACTGTAAGGTAACACATTGTAACGATCCACGAATACTGCTTTCATACCCAAAGCACCAGCTGAACACATCCATAAATGCTAAGAGGTAAGGAAGATTTTAGCTCTGAATGTGTCCAACTTGCAGTGCTCTGCTGCAAGGCCAGATTCTACGAGTTATGAACAACTCTGCTGGCTTGGCGATGCTAGAGAATGCAGATACTGTTTTCCACCACTTTGTGGGAACCCCCAGGAGGAATCATCCACACTAATTGGGGGCTGTTGGAGCTTGCACGCACTGACTTTTGCTTGATAGCGGGTACCCGAATATTTGCAAAGATAAAGCAAGGCTTTTGGCAATATACTCACAGTGCTAGAGGTTCTGGACCTCTGAGCTTACAATACAGGCCCCAGCCAAAAGGGGCGCTTATGGCTTCTAGCGTCTCTGCCAATTCCGATACGGCAGCGCTTCGCTGACAAGGCATAAAAAGACCCTATTTGTTAATTACTGTTTTTACGATAGCACGATTGCTATCTTTTTCGGTCCCTAAAGCCTCCCTCTACTTGTTCGTGTACACTGCAGTTGGAGACCAAGCTGCAACACGTTCATATGTAGATACGCAATAAGCTGAGGCGAATACAGTAACAGAATCGCTGGCGTTTCACTGCTTACCAAGATAGAGCATTACACTGGTCATTTATGGGGGGAAACATAGAAATCATCGCGCGTGCGAAAAGTGAAGCCCCGCAGCCCCACAACAGTGGATGTGGGGTGCTCCAACATGTGCGCCTTACACCAGTGAAACGCTATCTCAGGAATATCTCGGCACTTCCCGTTTGCTGAAGGGGAATACTGATATTCGCGGTGAGACAGGGAAGCATTTTACGAGCTGAAGTATACCCATCCCCCTGAAACAAGGGGTGCCTCTTCCTCCCTGGCTCCGCTGTTCCTTGTGCTATCGTGGGTTGCACATTTTCTTGCTGATTCCCAGTAGTTTTCATGCATTCGTTAATCCGAATTTTCTAGGTTCTTCTTCGAGGGCGCGAGGGCTTTAGGGGACCCCTTGGTTCTGTCCGCTTGGTGTGGTGTTAAAGGCGTCCCTCTTCTTTGTTCTGTTGGGCGCTGCTGCGTGAAGGTCTTTCTACAAAGATAGATCTTTGTTTCCTTTTGAACGTGTTTTTGCATGAACTTCAGCCATTTGATGTTTGGTTGCGCCTGCTCCTAGGCCGGCTTCCGCAGCATGCGGTAGTCCTAGTCGAGTCATAGCGCGTTGTGAACGGGTTCAACGTAGCGCTTTCCTCGGATCTCTAGTGTATTTGCGAGCCCTATGCCTACTTCTTTTTGGTGGTGCAGGATTCGAGGATGGCGGGTGTCCAGACCACCATCAAAACGGAGCTCTGCTCCTTCAGCGAATACCGTATTTACCCGGGTCGCGGCCTGAAGTTTGTTTCTCGCGATGGAAAAGTGCACACCTACATCCACTCCAAGGAGGCGCGCCTTGGCCGACAGAAGAAGAAGGCAGCCAAGCTCCGTTGGACGTTGGTACGATCGTGCATTCTTGGTTGTTCGCACGGCTTCCGGTTTTCGCAAACAGATGTTGCGCTGGCTAGGTAGCGTGCTGGCTCGTGATTCCCTGATATTCGTTTGTAGCTCTTTGTGATTGCGGCCAGAGTCACCGCGTCTGATATCCCGGTGAGGGCTCGGTGCTAAGGTTCGCGTACACTAAGCATCTGTAGTCCCGTCATGGCGCATCTCTTCAGTGGGGAGCGCACTTAGGGGCTGAGCTGTACAGTGTGTCTTACGGAAATGACATTGGTACACTTCCATGTTCCGTTTGTTTTTTTGTGCCGTTTTGACTGAGGACGGAGACATTGTCTGGTTTGATCGGACTGAAACTTCCTGCGGCTACTCCTCAGGTATGGCGGCGTGCCAACAAGAAGAGCCGAGGAGAGGCCGTCGCGAAGCGGCGTACGCGCAAAGGAGGAAAGGTTCAGAAGGCTATTGTGGGTATATCCCTTGAAGAGATCAAACAGAGAAGGGCAGCAAAGCCAGACCCAACTAAGGTACGGTGCCGTCGTAATTCTCAGATAGGGGCGAGGCACGATATTTAGTACCACCAGAATATACTGAGTCCAACCCGTATGCGATGGCCAATATGCGATGTTGCGACAAGTCGCGCACGTTTCACTTGTCAGCATGTGTATTTCCCGTGCGTGAACTGAATGTTTCGTGTCTCTTTACGGCATTCGCGTTGATGCAGATGAGGAAGATGCCTGCAAAGGATAAGAAGGAGAAGAAAGAGAAGCCGAAACAGACTGTAGTCCCGGGAACACGAGCTCCCCCAGTAAAGAAGATGGTTCCGAGGGCGCAGAAGGTGGCAGCCGCTCGCCTCATGTGACCGAAATATGGGTTGTTTTGGTCGCACAGTGTGCAGACGCTGCTAAGTGCATACAGAGAACCGCCCACTGGTTGAGTCTTCGCCAGATCCAGCCAGTTGGGTTGATATTTACACGTTGGAGAAAGGGTTGCGGGGATGCTGCAGCCACATAGCTGCGCAGGCAGACCATGCGAACAGCCAGGTGGAGAGGCATATTGGTCAATTGATGGCTGTTACTAAAAAAGTGGAGATATTTTGTGACAGAAGTTTCGCCAGATGGCGAAGCGCTATGCAAACATGGAGAAACGCACAGTGCTCTCTGTACAAGGCGTTTTCTTGAGAGTGCACTAGCTAGGCCTGACTTAGGCGTCATCCGTAGCATTCTCCAGTTGTGGGTAGCGAGCGGAGGCGGTAGGGAAGTGGACTAGCGGTGATACGATAGAAGTTTCTTTAGCAATTCGTCGGAGCACTTTACCTAAACTCTCATGAACAGAGGACAGGACTTACGAGGGTGTAGCACGCTTGGGCGGTCTCTGGGGATGGCGCCGCTTGGCGAAGGCACATGGCGGGCTGTTACTGAGAAGTTAGTGTTCTGCCTGCTTGTTGGTTTGGCAACGGATGAGTTTTCAGTTATGCCTTGGTAGCAGAATCCTTAGCACCGCGTAGCTTCCTGGAAACATCGGGGTACTTCCAGCGCATGCACCGTCCGCTGCTGTCTGCGGAGTCAGCATGCTTCAAATCTGTCACATTGCGGTTAGGCCGTCAGTAGTTAGGCTTAATTGGAAGGAATAGCTTTTTCCTCTCGACGAACCCATGCTCTCGCTCTCTTCTCCCCGTGCTCCCCATGCGGCGACTGCATGATGGGTTATCGTTACAGCCAGCCGCTCATTTGCAACTCGCCGTTTTCTCCTCTTAAACTTATCAAGTCAATAGGATTCACCAGTTACTTCGTAAGGTTAATCAATGAAGGTGGCTTTGTACAGCCCCTAGTCGCCGGCCTGGGTATTTTCCGGTCACTTGATTGCACACACGCACAAGCCCGATTTGCCCACAAATTTGCTGCCCCAGAGTGTCCCAACTTGCTGAAACTGAGGAAGGCCATCGAGCAGAACTTTAAACCGATTTGCTTCTACGTTAAGAATGATTACGCTATGGGACACCATGTTTACGATCAGCACTTCTACGTACGAGCACACGCAGCTCTACCGTAATGTGAAGAAATAAGCAGATAATAAATTAATGCCAACGCATTAAGGTAGGGGTTATAACGTGGATGCGGCAGATTTCGTGAGCTTCGGTAGCTGGAGACGCCGTTAAGGACCTGAGCACTCGAATATGGACAGTGCACAAGCTCGTGCAAACTCGTAAATGTATAATACACATGCATGTACTTCATTCTGTGCTCTGCTTGGCTTTTAGGGAATCCTTTGCTCGCCGCTTTTCGAAGGGAAGAGCTACAAGCAAATAAATGCGATGGTAGATCGCGTACTGGAGCCACTCGGTACTTCGCCTTCCTTCCGAATTCATGTTTCCCCTAACTAAGCATAATGAGAGTGCTTGTAGACGTTTGTGATGCCAGGCTGAATTAGTTCTGGCGGCAGAACGTGCCAGTCTGCCCTCTTCTGCTGCTTCAGGATTGGGAGGACGGGTTAAACTCCATTGCCAGCCGCCATCTCGTTTTGAAGTGAGCTACGGTGATAGCCCTGCTCAAGTTTGCATTCTACTTGTTAGCACCTCAGTGACACGATTTGGCATTCAATGGGTTCTGAGGTTCGATTTCACTAGAAGCCAAAGTTAACTTGCATTCAAGGCGCAAGTGCGACGGGCTTTTTGGTGTCCCCCCCATGCAGAAAATGCGAAGCCATCTCCGCTGGCGCTGGCAGCTTGAGAAGTGAGAAAGGCAGTGGAAAATAAAGGCAGAACAGACAACTGGAAAGGAATGGAAAGAAGGTAAAGAAATCATAACTAGAGCAAAATGCTTATGTTGCAAGCCTCTTTATCAGACTTTCCTCTGTGCATGCTAGTACAGTGGAGTAGCTAGCCTGCCTTTTCCAATCTTGACGTTTTAGAGCTTCACGGGGCCATTCTGTGTGTTGGAGGGCATTGCTCTACCGCCAGCAAGCCCCTGCTGTTTCAGTACTGTTGAACATTTGAACACTTTGAAGTTTGAGTTCCTCTACGCCCTGCCATGCCACGGAGCAGTGTTCTTCCTTAGAACCCCCCTATTTAGCATAGCATTCAAGCTGAAACTGCGCGCAGCGCCCTTCGCTTCGTACACAGAGCCCTCAAACCACTACACAGCCGGTCAACAACGAAAGACGCAGCAGGTGCTGTCACTGCTACTCACAGGCGGAAGTGTATTGGCGAGGAGTTTGCTGCTTCCGCTGACAGCTGAATAGCCCGTTAAGCTGTAGTGTCAGGGACGTTTAGGACGTCCAGACGTCCCCTTCTACTGTAGCGGCGGCATGCATGCAGCTGTAGCTGTTATTCCGGCTTTGTTGAATTATCGTTGTCCAGTTTCTTCACAGTTTTGGGATCAATGTAGAAACGCTCTGCTTGCTTTCGTAAATTGTCTCGTTCCTTCACAGTTTCCCTTCTGGTCTTGTGCCATTCCTCCACGTCAACCCCACGAGGAAAGGCCCTGACGCCTTGCTGAGGCACCGCAGTTCCTGCAGAGTAAAATACATAGGAAGTTCTTCCTGTCTAATGAATATCTTGAGAACGCACAAAACGCAAATCTTGGGAGCAAAGATTAATGGCAAAGCGCAGGCAAAGGGAGCGGAAGCGCCTACCGTCGGGCTGCACTGTAATTTCGGCGGGTGTATCATTGACGTAATACTCCACATTTGCATGCTCTAAAATGAACTTGTACACAAGCGCCGCCTGCGCCTTTTTATAGAGCTGCTTTAGGACGGCCTCCGGGGCTTCCCCTGTTGTCTGAGCAGAAAAAACGACCACCCTCCTCAGTTCTTCCCCATGCTACCGAGCTAATTTCAACTCATTGTGCAGCGCAGAGTTTCGGGCACGGCAAGCAACACTGAATATGCTTTATTGTTTCTATTCATAGCTTCCTCCTCAAAGAGGCTGAGACGGATAGTTTACCGTCTGCCGAGACAAAGTACGGAAGGGATATTCGGGCGAACCTGCAGGAGCGCCTTAGCGAGGTCCGCCTGTAATTTTTTTTCATCCACTTGCAGTCCTTCCCTCTTGTAAACCGCCTGCGAAGGGCACGAGGAGTTGATGATCTTAAATCTTACGCTAATATCAGATTTGAGAACATCCGTTACTAAATTGGAGCAAGGTGAGACACAGCATTACTTTTTTCAATAGGAGCTGCGCAGGCACTTTATCTCAACTGCGTCAAACATGAAGGGTCTAACCTGGATGGCAAAGGCTGTTGTAAGTATGCTCTCTATCCCCCGCCGGTTCTCCTCTTTCCACTTCATAAAGTCTTCTTTGGTTCGGTTTTTCTTGTCATTCTCCCCTTGGATTTCTCGTGCTCGCAGCTGCTGTTTCCATGTGGCATTTGCTTGTGCATCAAAGAGAGACTCTGAGGCGTTCGTTACATGGACAGTCTCTCAATGACCGCCTCTTATACGCTGGAACTGTACGCCATATCATTTTAGGCATGGACTCAACGATAATGCGTGCCGAATGGTGAAGGGATATGGTGAATGAAACTTTTTCTATGGAAAAAAGCTGGCGGCAAATCTGCTGGTGGCTCGTGTCCACATGCCAGAGTGCCCAAACACCGGCTGCTAGAAGTCGGGAAGTACACACAAGTGGAACTGGGACGCATAAACTGGCTTGCGATTTGACTAGATACACACCTAAGTGGTGGTATTGAGCTCTCGAGCTCCCGGTGTCTATATACTGCCACGAGCGTTTGCACTCGTGCTCAACACTCGTTGTACATAATTTGATTCACGAATGTTACCTGGCACATCCACTTGAGATATTTCATCGAGAGCCTGAGCTGCAGCACCTAAAGCATGCTTTGACGCTGCATTCTTGGCCAAGTCCTCCGCGGCGGCCTCTATTTTCTCCCACAACTCAGCCCGGCTCATTTGGCATGCTTTCTGAAAGAAGGCATCTGAGCCGCAGGAAAGAACGCACGCGGAAGAATCGGCAGCACAAGAACAACGAATGTCCTGATAGAATAAACAGGGGCTAAGAAAATGGGTTTTTCTAACCCCCACAGTAGAACCTGTTTCCCGCTCCCGCCAGCCCACCAAACTTCTTAGATACTGCAACGGCGCCTGGTATCTAGAAAGAATATTAAGTTAAATGCTGTTAATCAGAGCCAGGAGAGATGGGTGTGGAGCCTTCACCGACCATCAGCAGCCGGCCAAATGCGGCGTTTCACTCCAACGCATTTGACCTGAAGAAGACAATCGATGTGATGTATTTCATCTTCAGCTTCTTCACCACTGTCTTCATAGGTGTCTCCAGATATTCCCACTTGTTCCTTTCCTGCTATGTTACTTCGCTCTTCGGTGCTGGCATCACCAGTGTCGGCCGCGGAGGCCACTTCTGATGCTGCCGTGCCGCCAACATCACCTGGCGATTCCCCCTCCTGTGAAAAAAACTTCCTCAAAAATTTGTCTTTCTCTGTGCCTGCGAGGCTCTGCAGGTATAGCGGAACAAGACTGCGGCCTTCCTCTGAGCATCCCTCCGTCATCCTTCTCTCTCCAACATCTGTTTGCTGTTCTTCGCTGGCGTCATATGCCTGTCTTGCATTTATTTCCAGCAACTGGGAGGTACTAAAGGGGATCGCCAGCTTGACGGTTCGCCTCTCGCCTAAAGAAATACCTTTAACGGCCCCCAACAGCTCAACAGGAATCCTGCACAGATGCGCGACTCTCGTTTTCTGCCCTGGCTTATTCAGTAAGTATTCGCGACACTGGCGCAGTGAACATGGAACAGTTGAGTAAAACTCATTTTGTTTTTCTAGGGCAACCCGAGTGCAGCTCACAAATTACCAGGGCCTAAGAAGATCAAGCGTCGTTTCCCCACATATAAACTCTGACGGAATTTTGGGGCCAAAGGAACCATCGCGCTCTTCAAACCAGCCGAACTCCACCTAGGAGGCAGAATGCAAATATCAGGAGTACAAGAATCTTTACATAGATACCCGGAGACGTTCTGGACGGACTAATCAAAAACGCGAGAGTAGCTAACATCGGCACCTTTTAGAGAACTGAAACGATGCTTTCTGCAAGAAGCGCAGACAGGAGGGAGTGGCAATGGTGTTAGGCAAACCTGCAGAAGGACTGAATCCCCTTCGTCAGCTGGGTGTGCAGACTCCGGATAGTCCGTCACAGTTGAATGCTTGTACAGCAGATAGTCTGTTGTTAATTTAAACAAATGACCCTTCACATACGGCTGTCTCGGCACGCGAAGCTGCATTGAAAACACAGTGAACCCCGGACAAGACCATGAGGAGCCTTCATCAATCAAGTAGTTATAAGCCCTCTGCATCGCAACATACTACGGTAAGTAGAGAGAGACTCGGCTATAATGAAAAGCACTTTTAAGGGAAGACAAATGTGACTCACATTGAGACCCTTGTAAGAGCGCTTGAAACGAACTCTGGGATGCAGCTCCGCACGCAAGTGAAGGGTGAAAGGAGTTCCAGGGGAAAAGCGATCTCCTAATTCACTTATATCCTGAGTTGCAAAACACTGAAGTACGCTTCGCTTGAATGAGACAAGCAGTTAAAAATACGGGGCAGTGTTGACGCTAATAAACGTAAACATTTGCAAAAGCACCGGATCTGGCGGTGGAGAGTTGTACGCATAATCGCACGTAAAACGAATTGAATGGTACCTTTAAATCCAATACCTCCTCCCAACAGCTTAGGAGTTGGAAGAAGTGACACAAGGGGACTGTCTACCGCTCACGCAAGAAGCGTCCAACATTCAGCAGAGCTTACGCAAAATTTTCTTGGATGGGTTCCCTGCATCTGAATCACTCACCTCTGTAAATTTCACCTCTCCCATAACGCGCAAGTTGTGTTCAACTTGAGCCTTCCTCTGAATAGCTTCGCTCAGGAAGCGAATTACATCTTGGCGCACAGCGGAGACACCGCCTGCCCTTTGCAACAAATACGCCGCTGAGACATCCAATGGTGAAGAAGAAAGGGAAGAGCGGAAATTCGCGCGCAAAGACGCTAGGGTTAGTTCCCACAACTGCGAAGTACGCAGAAACCTGCAGATGCCCCAAGCTCTCATATATCAGGCTCGCGCCTACTTGAGGGCAGCTGTGTGTCAAGCTTTGCAAGAGTAGATGAATGCAGATGTTGGCCTGCCCACTGAAGAGCATTAATAGACTGTAATAAGCCACTGTAAGTGCATGTACAGATTCGAAATATCGCCGGTTCTCAGTGCATTCACCCAATAGCATTCTTGAAACGACATAAAGAATTGTTTATGTACGTCTTCCCAAAAAATGTGATGCCCTCTCACCTCTCTCGTAAATTCTCCCGAAACAGTTGCATCGATTTCTATGCCACATTTTTCCATTTCTCTAAATTTAATTTGAACATCAGTGCCGCTCAGCATCTGATCAACTTTCAGTTCGGCTTCATTCAGTTGATGATTCATTTTAATTTGCTCGTCTTTACGTATATAGGTGTTCCCCTGAGCAGCACGGGGAGAAAATGATCCAAGTCGCTGGCCTCTTTGCAGGTACTCCGCATGTCTCTGAAGTCACAAGGAGACTCCTGGCAATCCCAAAAAGCTCTTTCACTACTGAGTTCTCCCAACCATGAACGGACAGCATCAAGGGGCGCTCTTGTCACCTCGCGGGCATTCTTTTGGACTCACTTTGACGTTAATACAAGCCAAAACTATGCATTATGCGACACTCTGCAATCGACACCCCTCATGCATACCCCTTAATTAGCTCGGCGCGCGTGGGCAGTGCTTATGGAGCCCCACCCTACTGCAGTACATTTGTACTTAGCATGGGGCATGCTGAACATGTTGCCTAAAGGCTTACTTGTTTCTGACGTCGGCGTTTGGTGTGGTAATCCTCCTCATCATCCTTCGCATGTAAGGATATGCTTGCATTTCGAGTATGTGTGGAGCCTGCCTTTCGTTCCGTTCCCACATGTGCTTCAAGTTTTGCCAGATCTGCTTCTATCGAGCTTGGGGCTGGTTTGTTTTCTTCACTGTGGCCTTCCTCTAATGTGCTGGAACTTTCTCCAGCCACTGCGCAGTGCGGTGAACAGCCAACTGCGACCCGCATCGGTATCTGCTGCCTGTACAGGCGACTGCATTGTAAGCTGCCTGGAGCGGGCCTTTTTGCAATGCTATACGGGGCTGAAGAACCCAAGCAAAGCACTGGACAAAAGACACTCCGAATGCGGGCAGCTGGGACAAGTTGGGGCGGCCTGAGTCTGTTATCATCGAAAGGAAGCTTGTAGCCGTCAGCTTTCGTAGAGTGCAGGCACGCCCCAAGGAAGGCGCACAAAACTGCGAAAGAAACAATCTTCGTGAAACGTCTCGATAACGAGGTACTCCAGGTAGTGTTATTTCGGAAGGACATCGCTGTGGAGCTACGCGACCTTTCCCCCTCCTAACGTGTCAAACGATTTCGCTCATCATTTAATTATAAATTTTTCATCGCTTGATGTCTCATGATCAAAATTAAAGAGTTAGTGATCTCGAGTGCCTTGAACGTCTAGAGCTCGACTTCACGCAGCAACGACGCGGCAGGAACACGCCGAACGAGCTCACGTATTCTCCAAGAAATAAGATGTTTCACGAACTTAAAAAAACAGAAAAAGCATAAAATAAGATCATAACCGCTGCCGAGTGTGCAAACTGACGTTGTTCAGGCACCATTACAACAGAGGGCCCTCAAAGTACCCGAGCATAAATGAGAGTAGCCTTGCAAATCAGACAAACAGGAATAACATGAAGCTGTCACTGTCAAACTATTAGTCCCTTCATGTGATGATTAACTGCCCTTGAGATTGTTAATGCGTAAAACTCGAGTTTTCTTACCAGCAGAACCAACAGACCTACGAGAGGAGGCCCTGCTTAGTTTCGGGACCCCACAGCTGCTTCAAAGAGTGTATTGAAGCCCACGAAGTATACATCGTAAAACGCTCCATAAAATAAAGCTGAGACGCATTTTGTAATACCGAAGTTCACACTCATCATTCAAGCGAACGTCGGCTCGGCGTCTGCGCTCCTGTGGTCCTTGCGTTTTGCCTCCTTACAAACCTATTGTGCTGGAACAGCTCGCCTCTTTGTTTCTTCTCCTGCCTTCCCTGCAGCAGTAAATCAACAGTGGGCTTTGTGGTGGCACACTTGGCTGCCAGCATGATTGTCTTGTGCTGGTTCCTGCATCACAATGAATACAATGGCATGCGCATTGAGGAACTGGAGGCGCTCGCGCTTATGGAAGGAGTTGAGCAAAACTCGCTATGGCAGGGCTGCAAACGCCCAGATTCAGCAGCCGAAGAGCAGTTTGCGTTCGTCTGTGTTCCCTCAGTAGCCTTATGTGAGGCTATCATGAAACGCTCTCTGTTGATTAAAGCCTTCGTTGAGGTCAGCTAGGATAATTGGGTGTTCGCAGAACTGCCACTCTCCGGCCTGCGGTGTGGCTCCGATATCTGCGTTTCATGTTTCTCAGTGCTTGAGTTTCCAGTCCGTTAACGCAAAAGCAAATCTAAGACTTATGCCGAGAGGCAACCAACTAAGAAGCAAATAGATGAAAATTTGCAGCTTATGCCTTTCTTGGGCCCGTAGGTATGGGCCAGCGGCGTCACGTACGAAGCTATTCTAAAGGAGATTAAGGAAAATAAGATGGACACGTTTCGGAAGTGGATTTGCAAGGACCGGACTTGGGCTTTTCGTGTAGATGCCTTCGGCAAATGCCTCAGCAGCGATGAGCAGCGCCAAAGAATGAATTTTTTCGCTCCTCTTTTCGAAGGCAATGAGAAGGTCAATCTTTCCCATCCCGACACGACCCTCGTCGTGGCGGAGGTGAGGGCGCGAACGGGCTTACGAGCTTTTTTTGAACTATTTTTGGGATGATAATGATCATTCTCATTGGCAAATGGTAATGATATGACTGTGTGTCTGCGTATAAGCATTATCTGTCCCATTTTCAGCTTTCTTTGCATCCTCAGCTTTCATGCCCCTTTGCCTCCGTGTCTATTTTAGTCCCTACGTCTCCTCACTTTTGAACGTATACTTATTCTTCCACTGCCTCTGCACCGCGTTGGCGCCGTTTGTCCCCAATCGTTTGCGACAAGCGCATTTTGGGTAATTCTACTGCGCTAGTACTTTGGACTCTGTCCTAAGTACTAGCTGTGTGCTGTGCACTGCAGCAATGGGCACACCAAAGTCACCTCCAGGCTCCGGTTCAGATTTATTTCGGCCGCCAAATTTGCAGAAAAACAAAAGACCATCCTTTCTGGTGGAAGTACAGGCTGCCCGTAAGGCCAGTGCTGGGTCCCACATCGCTGGACTGTGAGCTCGCCTTCATTATGTGCAACCAGGTACAAGTGTCTTGCAAAACATTCAAACGAATCCGCCCGAACACATTCAGCAACCAGTAGATATGCACATGATGCCGCTTTTACACTTGCGTGGGCATACACTGAGAGTCACGTATGCAGCTTTGTCTCTACGTGCATATCTTCTCACGCACATGCGCATCTCTGTCTACTCTCGTCGCAAATTAAAGTATATCCACACCTTTGCTTATATACATACGTGTCTTCGCGTTGTTGGCTTTATTTGTATTAGCAGCTTTTGCGATTGAATCGTTTTGGGTACTTTATGCGATGCCACTCATCCCTGCGTGCCTGAAATACTGAAGCTGTTAACTTTACATATCAAATGGAGAGCTTATTGGCACATAAATATCCGGGAATTCAGAAAACCACGCATAGAGGCAGGAGCACGGAAGCACGAACAAAGCAGAAAGCTATGCACATATACAGAAGTCTGTCGCTGCTCCGCTAGGTTCACCTTCCTTTCAGGGCCACGTCTCTGCCGACTGCGTCGTTTTCGACCCATTTGTTGGCACTGGAGGTCTCCTAATAGCTGCTTCTCACTACGGGTAAGTTGCATTTGTGCGAAGGAAAAAAGCGAAGCACGACTGTGTGGAACAAACGAAAGGGATGATCATGAGGGAGGCTAAGGTGTACGCAATATCCCGTGTTTCTCTAATTAAGATTCCGCAGCTTTTTATGTTGAGTGTATTGGTTGCGTGGTATTTTTTGAAATCTGATTTTTTCTCTTACTTTAGTCATCACTTGTGGTGAATGTGAAATTTCTGCAGAGCTTTTTGCATAGGCTCAGATATCGATATACGAGTTCTAAAGGGCTATGGCGTCTCCTACCTAAACCCCCACTTAGACTTTAAAGAAAGTAAGGTCTGTTACCCGCTGTATTTACTTGTTTGTGTAGGCTTTGTTTGTTTCTGCCTGTGAGGGGAACTTCGTTTGGCAGAAAGACTCTGCGAAAATCCGTCTTTTCTGTTCACTCCCACACATATCACACTCTCTTCATCATACATTAAGGCCTGTTGGATTCTTGTTGTTTTGTCGGTCACCAAGGCTGACATATACAGTTTTTTTGAGAGGACGAGCTCGCCTGTACTTTTCGTTTCGTAGAGCGGACGGATGTGTTTCGCAATTTCGACGAATATGGGCTGAGGCGACCAGAGATCATCCGCTGCGACAACGCCGCGTGGGTTAGTCTTTACGCATCTACCTTGCTTTTGCCTGTTTTCTTATTCCGCTGTGCTTTTAAGGTCCCTCTCGTCCTTATTCGTGGCTTCCATACGATTTTGACTTTTGTTCTACCGTGACCGCAAATGTGTCTAGTTCTGTCCATTTCCGCGTTCGCTTATGTAGACAAGCTGTCCTCTTTTACTGCGCTTTGAGTGTATTTGGCGCCTGCGCATAGGTTTGGCGGCTTCCTTATGAAGAAAGAGCTGATGAAGCACCTCAGAGTTCACTAACGAGCTCTGGAGAAAAAACAGTCGTAGACGGCGTACGAGCTGCCTACTTGTCAAGGAACGTAGAAGGAGGAAAGCCCTGGGTTGATTGCATCATGACAGACCCGCCGTACGGTGCGTCTACAAACGCGTGTCTACCTGTATCATCTTTAAAAACCTGTTTACTACCTTGGTAGTGACGCAAAGTGACTAGTGAAGTCACTATAATGCCACATAATGGTCTCATGCCCCGGTATGGAATCGGCGGTGATTATTTTAATTAGATCTAGCAGACAAACGCATTCTAAATGACTCATTGGTCGTCTTTGTTTTTTCTCCAAGGTATTCGGGCCGGAGCAAGGCAATCAGGGCACACAAAGAAATGCAAGCGAAACCCACAAACAAGGAGTAATGAGGAGTAAGTTGGATTCATAACGTCGTATGCTTCTGTACATTATTGGGTTCCTAGTATGATGCGAATGTCCATTAATGGGCTGATATAATGTAAATGTGTAGTAGTGATGCCCATGGAAGGCCGCTTGTACGAACATGCATGGAT